GCTACAATGCAAATGTCTCATAAAAGACTTCCACCAAAAATATACAAAGATCTACTAAAGCTCAACAACAAGGAAACAATTGTCCCAGTTAAAAACTCGAGGCTTAGGCTTCACTAGGGTTCCTGGGCTCTTTCAACCAGTCCAACCCCTCTACTGTTTCTTTGCCAGTTCCTCAACATCTTTGGCTTCTCAAAGGCTTTTCCTCGTCTCTATTGAGTCCCCAGCATTTCTGAGTTATTATTTTAAATTGTTTCTGTCATTTGAAGGGGTCTTGCGAGGAAAACCATGTCGATCTACACCCTGTCAGCCATCTTGAACATCTTGACCTGGAGGCCTGCTGCTGTGTTGACAGCTCAGATGAGCCGCAACTTGGTGGCTTTAACAACCAATGCAACTTGAAAGAACATGGCGGCGGTGGGGGAGGGGTATGGACGCGGGGGTGGGGATTCAGTTGGTGAAGTGTTTGCCACACAAGCAAGAGGACACATGTTTAATCCCCAGAGCCTGTGTAAAAGCTGGGCATAGTGGGGGAGTGCTTGTAATCCCTGTACTAGGGAGGCAGAGGATGAGAATCTCGGTGCTTGCTGGCCAGCCAGACAAACGTAAAGGGCAAGCCCCAGGTCCTGCTGGGGGAGTCTGTCTAAAACCCAAGATAGAAGATGAGGACTACCATCTGACTTTGACCTCTGGTCTCCACGTACTTACCCGTGAATGCACACCCACACACACGGGAGTACACATATACATGCACACCGGAGTCCAGAGAAACTGCTCAAATTTGAACAGAGTCACACAAATAGAAACCCAGAGAGAAGACTAATGGTGTTGCTAGACAGTCATTCTATTGCATCTTCCTTATCTGCAGCTCCAAGGTCTTCCAAGCCACCCTTGGTCCGGGCACCTTGACGCTAAATTAAAAGGCTTACACCTTAGTCAATGAGAACGCATGGGAAAGAGAGAGGATGCATGCTTGAGTTTTTGTCTGTGGGCCAGCTCAAGTATCCTGGGGCTGACAAAGGAGAAGAACCACTCAGAGGTGAGAGGGTGTGATCTGTTGACAATGACCCCCTCAGCTCAACAAATAGTACAGACTGTATTTGTGTAACCACTGCCCCACCCCAGGGAATCCCCATCATGCCCTCCTCCTTCAGTAGCCGGCTCCAAGCTGTAGCTGAATATTATTTTAAGGTGTGTTACTTTTGTTTATGTTGCATTCGTTTAACTCTGTGAAGCTGTGTTACTGGGCCTGTCTAAAACACCTGATGGTCTAACAAAGAGATGAACGGCCAATAGCAAGGCAGGAGAAAGGATAGGCGGGGCTGGCAGGCAGAGAGAATAGATAGGGGGAGAACTCTGGGAGAGGAAGAGCTAGGAGTCAGAGAAGGGGAGGACGTCAGGGGCCAGCCACCCAGCTGCACAACCAGCAAGGCACAGAGTAAGATTACAGAAGTTAGAGAACGGGAAAAGCCCAGAGGCAAAAGATGGATGGGCTAATTTAAGGAAAGCTGGCTAGAAACTAAGCCAAGCCAAGCTGGGCATTCATAAGTAATAATAAGACTCCAAGTGTGATTTATTTGGGAGCTGGGTGGCAGCCCCCCCCAAAAAAAAGCCAAAAGAAAAACCCCAACACCACCTAGCCCCTCTGCAGCAGACACATTGTAACATTAAGTAGTTTCTCCCGGTTTTACACATCTGTTCCATGAATTGTGCTCTTCTGCATCTGGTCTTTCTGTTTGTCAGAGCCATTGGTTATTTTGTGCGCAGCTCCTGTTGAAGGCTGTTCCTCCCCCATTGCTTTGTAATGAACAGATGGACTGTATGTTTGCACAATGGAATGCTCTCAACTTTATCTTCTTTTCGTGTCTTTATATTTCATTTATTGTGTGTGCGTGCACACCTGCATGTACGCATGTGCCACAGCTCACCTGTGGAGGTCAAAGGACAACTTACGGGAATCAGCTCTCTTCTTCCAGCATGAGGGGTTTGGGGATTGAACTCAGGTCCTCCAGTTTGGGTGCAGATGTCTTTACTCACAAAGGCACCTCACTGGCCTCCCTCCATATTTCATATTTTCATAAATAGCATCATATCTTGAAATTCTGAAGAGCTCAGCTGTTGAAAATTAAATCTGGGGGCTGGAGAGATGGTTAAGAGCAGTGGCTGCTTTTCCAGATGTCCTGAGTTCGGTTCCCAGCAACCAACCACATGGTGGCTCACAACCATCTGTAATGAGATCTGGTGCCCTCTTCTGGCCTGCAGGCATACATGCAGGCAGAACACTGTATACATAATAAATAAATAAATAAATAAATAAATAAATAAATAAATAAATAAATAAATCTTTTTTAAAAAAATTAAATCTGGTGCAGCCACTAGCCACATTATTCTTGAAATAAAAGCTCAAGGTACCAGCTCTTCACCGAGGATGGTGTCTCCACCACTGTGTCAGTCTCTGAGTCAAGAAAATCTGTCTTGCTTCGTGTGGGTAAGAAGTCTGAAACAAAGCAGCAGTCTCCTCGATCTGATTTTTGATCCTAGACTTCTTATCCCAGTATGACAGCTTCTCAGAACAAAGTAGGACACAGCACAGCTTTCACAATAAATCCCTTGATTTATTACATCCAAAATATCTCTTCTTTGTGATTTTTACATAGATGTAAGAGCTTGTTACTGTTGGTGTCAAAACCATTGTATTTAGTTTACTTTGATGGATGCTGATTTCACACCAACACATACACACACACACACACACACACACACACACCTACACACACCTACATACACACCTAAACACACACATGCACACACATACACACATACATACACACACATACACACATGCACACACATACACATACACACACACACATACACATACACACACACATGCACATACATACACACACACATACACATACATACATACATACACACACCTACACACATACACACACATACACATACACACACATACACATACACATACATACACACACATACGCACATACACACACACACATACACATACATACATACACGCACACACACACAAACACACATACACAAGCACACACACACACACACACACCCCTCACACTAACTTAGGGCCTAACTATAGATAAATCACTATATGCATTAAACTTCATTGCTGCAGTCTTTTTTTTGATACATTAGGAATCGATACTGTTTGAATTGAAAAACACATTATAGAAAAATTCAGTTACAATGCACTAACACTAAAATTTCTGTATGAAAAATGCTGATGTTTGGATCAGAATTAGTCTCCAACTTGACGCTATAGAGAGGTTGTGGAGCTGTTATGTGGGGTTTAGGTGGCAGTTATTATGTTGTCGGGGGCATTCAAGGGGCGACTGGGACCAATTCTAGCTCCCATCTTCTCTTTTGTTTTCTCCCCAGCTACCAACTTCAGAAGGAAACCTCCACCACTGTGAGCCAGAGTGAACGTCTCCGCTTTTAAAGTTGATTGTCTCAGGCATTTTGTTACAGTAACAGAAAGCTGCTGTGATAGTTTTAAATGTTAACTTGCCTCAACTCAGAATCACCAGGGAAGAGTCTCCACAGAGTACTTTTTATCATCAGGTTGGTCTGTGGGGTTGTCTGTAGGGATGATCTTGGACTGTTCATGCATGTAGGCAGAACAGCCTATTATGGGCGGCACCATTCCCTAGGCAGGAGGTGCTGGATTATGTGGGGCAGTAGAAAACTTAGCTGAGCAGCAGGCAGGGGGTGGGAGTGCTTTCATCTCCCTCTGATCTCGGGTGTGAAAGTGATGTGATGTGCTGCTGAGTTCCTGCTTGGCCTCCCCAAAACGATAGATTGTCACGTAGAGTTGTAAGCCCAACAAACACTTCCCCCCATTACATTACTTTATGTCAGGGTATTTTATCATAAAAACAGAAATGAAACCAAGACAGGCTGGCTAACACAAAAAGAATATTTTTAAATGTCCAGTTTATTGAGATGTAATTTACACATAGTAACAAAGCACAGCTCTTCATTTTATGGTGCTAAGTTTAAGCAGGCACATTCAGTTTCGTAACCGTCATAATCAAGATACACAAAAATCCATCATTCCCCCAAAGTTCCCTCATGACCTTTCCCCTGTCCTGACGGCTGCTGATTTCCTGTTATTGGACACAGCATGCTTTGCTGGACATAGATGCGCAGTGCATGCCTGTCTCCCTGCTTTGCTGGACATAGATGCACAGTGCATGCCTGTCTCCCTGCTTTGCTGGGGATAGATGTGCAGTGCATGCCTGTCTCCCTGCATTCGCTGGGGATAGATGTGCAGTGCATGCCTGTCTCCCTGCATTCGCTGGGGATAGATGTGCAGTGCATGCCTGTCTCCCTGCTTTGCTGGGGATAGATGTGCAGTGCATGCCTGTCTCCCTGCATTTGCTGGGGATAGATGTGCAGTGCATGCCTGTCTCCCTGCGTTCGCTGGGGATAGATGCACAGTGCATGCCTGTCTCCCTGCTTTGCTGGGGATAGATGCGCAGTGCATGCCTGTCTCCCTGCGTTCCTGGGGATAGATGCGCAGTGCATGCCTGTCTCCCTGCATTTGCTGGGGATAGATGCGCAGTGCATGCCTGTCTCCCTGCTTTGCTGGGGATAGATGCGAAGTGCATGCCTGTCTCCCTGCATTCACTGGGGATAGATGCGCAGTGCATGCCTGTCTCCCTGCTTTGCTGGGGCTAGATGCGCAGTGCATGCCTGTCTCCCTGCATTCACTGGGGCTAGATGCGCAGTGCATGCCTGTCTCCCTGCATTCACTGGGGATAGATGTGCAGTGCATGCCTGTCTCCCTGCTTTGCTGGGGCTAGATGCACAGTGCATGCCTGTCTCGCTGCATTTGCTCCCTGCTGTGCCCCGCCCCACCACTCTTGAACACCTTGTTCTCTCCATGCACGCCCACAAGCCTAACACCTGTTCTTACCCAAATCCCTCTCTTCCTTAATTCCATGTGGAGGGAAACTTTTGGAGAATTTTTAGCAAAGGAATTACATAATTTGATTTGCATTTCCTAGGAACCACCTAGTGATATAGGGTAAGATCCTTGCTTATGAGACATATACACTGCAGTTTGGGAGAAAAAATATATCTACAACCTGCTTTGAGATAGCTCACCAATCTGTGTGTTTATGTTTGTGTGTATATACATGAATAAACTTGGTTAATGCTAATTGGCAGTATTTCATGTTCACTGTACATTTCCAGCTTTTTGTGGGTGTCCTAGTTACTTTTTCTTGCTATGACACCCAGGCAAAAACAACTTGGGGGAGGAAGGGCTCATTTCCCAGAGGGCTGCAGTCCATTCTTCTATGCATAGATTCGATCTCTTTACATGATTCAAGGTCCTTGGTGCTATTGCAGGAGAATCATCTGTGCATTTGATACATATAGATATAGGTGTTGTAAATCCAGAAAAGAAGTCTGGGATAAAATGATAAAATTTTGAATTGTGAACATCTCATGATGTCTAAACTCTATAGTTAACTAGGATCTCCTAGGACATGGGTGCGACTAGAGGGGAGGCCCAGTCTGTTCTTGGGGAACTGGGACATGATCAGCCTGGAAAGAAGTACAGTGCATTGATTCCTCCTGGCCTGATCTCCTGCTTCCTGACAAAGCATATGACCTGACTTGCCACCTAGCTTTACCCTTAAAGGAAAAGGTACCCATGTAGGTTTGCCATAGTCTAGTTCCTGGGACAGTTCTTATAATAACTTGACCACACCCACAAGCTTGGTTCAGTGAGCTCCTGAGACAGTCATCCAGTATGCTGACAAAAATCTGTTGGTGAGTGTGCTGAGGAGGAGCCAGGCACAGGGCTGTGGAAATTCCCCAAGGAAATGAACAGAGCTGGCTGCCCCACCTCCTCACGCTCTTCCCTTTGTAGCCTGCCAGGCAAGGATGTTCCCACATTCTCACAAATGGTGAAAAATGTCAAGCCAGGTAGAACTAATCAAGTATTCTCTTTTTTTTGGCTGCATCCTTTTGTCCTGTAGCATCCTGCTGATTTGCCACTGTGCCTCTCCGAGCTTTTCTCTCATACGCAGTTTGTATTTCTTACATCAAGGTCCTTATTACTATTTCAAGAGCTTTCTCCCTGTGTGGGGTAGATCTGTGCTCGAAAGTTTTATTTTGTTTCTGGGTCAGTTACATTCAACTAACTCAAACCCAAAAATGGCATAGTAGACAGAGAGAAATTTCCTTCCAACCTCCTCCAAAGGCATGCTTGCTCCCTAAATCACTATTTATACATGCTACAATCACTTGGACATGCTTTGCCAGAAGCATGACCATGAAATACAGCTTCTACCTAGATACTGATAGGCCCAGCTACACACACAGTGTTCCTACACAAGAATGGCTTTGGTGCCTACTCTGCTCTCCTTCTGCAGGACACCTGGCCTTCCTCCCTTGGCTAAGGCTGCCATTCTGTCTACTAGGAAGAAAGAAAACATTTTCTAAGAAATAAGATTTGAGCGGAGACTGGCACGACATTCTAAGAAAGACTACCTGAGGTGCAGGAACAACAATGACCAACCCTGTCCTGCTAATGACAGGAGTCAGAGGCCTGGGACATAGAAGACAGTGGTGCCGGAAAGAACCAGAAATGTGTCCATGCCAACCACGGCTGAGCCGTTGGATTTGATTTTCACGGTGATGCCATATCCCTGTAGAGTTTGGGGCAGAAGAGCAATGTGAGAGTTTATGTTTTACACACATCATTTCATCACATTTACCTCCCCATCCTTCACCCCAGTTTCTCCCAGGTCCACTGCCACCTCCCCAGCCTCGCCCAATCTTGGGTCTTCTCTCTTTCCTTTCTAACAACTCACTGAACTAAATTTACATTGACCATATACCTACCCACTAGAGCACAGATTGGCCTACCAGGCACACCCTTAAAGAAAACCTATAGAAACCTTCAATGTCAGTATCTCCTCAGTTAGGGAAAGGAACTTGTGAGTGTCTCTTTCTTCCATGACAGGATGTTGGTTGGTTTGATCTTCTACAGGTTTCACGCAGGCACTCACAGTGCTGTGTTCACGAGAGTCACAGTCCTATGATGTCTGACTCTTCAGTCTCCTTCCAGCTATTCACAACCTTTGCTTCTCACAATCTCCCCCTACCCCTTTGCTGAAATGTCCCCCCCCCCACTGAGCCTTGGGGCGGGATGGTGATACAGATGTTCCGTTTGTTGCTGAGGCCTCTACTGACCTTTATTCTCTGCATGCTGATTAGCTGTGAGTTTCTTAAATTAGCTCCCATCCACTGCACAAAGAAACTCCCCTGGTGAGGTCTGAGAGATTTGTTAATCTATAGGTATAGAGAAACAAGTTTAGAAAGTTTGACACTGTGCTGTGGGATGTTCTCTATGCTGTGAGTGTGTTGCTCTGATTGGTTAATAAATAAAGTGCTGATTGACCAGTAGCCAGGCAGGAAGTATAGGTGAGACAGAGAGGAGAATTCTAGGAAGTGGAAAGCTGAGGCAGCCGCTGCCATGAGTACCAACATGTAAGATACCGGAAAACCACGAGCCATGTGGCAAGGTATAGATTTATAGAAACGGGTTAATTTAAGATATAAGAACTAGATAGCAAGAAGCCTGAGCCATTAGGCCAAACAGTTTAAATAATATAAGCATCTGTGTGTTTATTTGGATCTGAGTGACTGCGGGCCCAGGCGGGAATGGAGATAACTCCAGCTACAACACTATGTCCATTTAGCAAAAAAGCAGTATGAGGTTCACCCTTAGGGACCATTAGCTCCCCAACCATAGGATTTATAGCATCAGGCATATGTTTCCTCTTGTGCACTTGGTCATCAATCCAATGAGAAGGAGTTTGGCTGCCCCAATGGCATTCATGCTACATCATGGGCACATCTTGCTACCCTAGCCATTACTGTGAACACGGGATTCACAGGTGGGTAAGATGGTTGATGACTTCGTCACCCAGAAGCCTACTTAGCACCTTGCAGGACTATGAACACTAGCCAGTGGGAAGAAGGCATCCTGTTTAGTGCCAACTTGATCTCTCCAAGTCCTGTGACCAAAGTATGGGGCAATTTCAGCAGCAGGGTCTCATCCTCAGGGTCTAGTGGGCAATCAAGAGCAACGACAGTATCCTGTGTTTTGGGGGGTCCCTGCAACATCTCTAACCAACAAATCATAGGGAGGTGTCTTACACATGGCACTGGGCTTTTAAGTTGGCAACCAGTGGCTTCTGGGAGGAGCATTACCCCCTGTGTAGGGTAACTCCAAGTAAGTTCATACACACACACACACACACACACACACACACACACTGAACTCTTATGTGACTATGTAGTATAAACTATTTTATGCAAATATTATATATATATATGTATATATATATATATATATATATATATATATATCAATTAGTAGGTTTCTGTATGACTTTCCAAACACCTTTAGTGTCATCCCTGTCCCTGTGCTGTCCTCTGCTCTACTCTTATGTCCTTACCTAAACCTCCCTTTACTCCTTTTTCCTCTTCCTATCACCTGTATTCTATCCCTCCTCCCCTAAGTTAGTTCTTCCTCCCCCTTCCCACCAATGGTACCAGGAGTCTACAAGTATTCCTAGGAAAACTTACACTTGTATGGGAGTGAGAGACAAGGTCACCGGAAGCAGAAACACTGACGAAACTTAACAGCCATGCTACCAGGAAGATCATCTTCTTGTATATTTAAGAATCATGAAAGAGTCATGGAGACAGAGTTGGAAAACATGGGACCTAAAGTTTCCCGGGGCTGTAAGAGGGTAGCTCAAGGTCTCCTATAGTTAATTCACACTTTCGTGGTTCCTCTGAGAGGAAGTGGGATTCTGACCCTGTGGATATGTCCTGCTGTTGACGCCTGGCATGACAGAATGTCTGCTTGATGGGCCCAAATTTTCCATCTCCTCTCTTATTCCAGAGGAGTCTGGGATCTACATCTGGCACGTGAGCAGAATTCAGCCTTGTTGTTGCTGTCTGTCCAGCCGAGCTGTTGCTCCCAGCCCAATATTTAAATGTCATTCAAAACAAAAGCAAGAATGTTCTCCCCCCGACACAAGTTCTCAGTATTGGATTTCTAAAGATGATCAAGAAGGACATAAACATGAAGCCACTTTGTGCACATTCTCTCCCAGTTTTCACTGATGTATCACATAACCACTTGGTGACAGTGTGGGCTTCTGGGGTGTCTGCACCTCTTCCTGGTGAGTCCTGGTAGGTGAAGATTCAAGAGTTCCTGGGGCATGTCACCTCAGTTTTCTTCTTCATGCCCATGGTAACATCACTTCTTGTCTCTCAGGATTGGAGAGTTTGCGTCTGTTTTCCATCTTGTATTGATGGCATGCTTTTCTGGTTTGACTGGTGACCACGCACTTGCTCTAAATCTGAGGCGCAGCAACTGCACCTGATCCTATCTCTGCCTCAGCTGCTGACTGCACCATCTGCAGCTGCCACCACCTTGGTTCTGAGGCCACGGCCAGGAGAGCCTTTGTGTCCCACCACAGCCTTTAAGTAAGGAGGCAAATGTTGTTGTTTTTTTTTTTTTTTTTTTTTTTTTTTTTTTTTTTTTTTTTTTTTTGGTTTGTTTTTTTTGGTTTTTCAAGACAGGGTTTCTCTGTGTAGCTTTGGTGCCTTTCCTGGAACTCACTTGGTAGCCCAGTCTGGCCTCGAACTCACAGAGATCCGCCTGGCTCTGCCTCCCGAGTGCTGGGATTAAACGCGTGCGCCACCACCGCCTGGCTAACTACATCTCTTATCTTTTTATCTTAGCAATAAAGATCCAGGAACCAGCTGCTTGGGTGAAAACCTGCTAGCTCAGAGAGGCAGAGGAAGCAGCTGACTGACCTTCCTCCTCTGCTGTGGTCCCAGAAAGAGGGCTCTCTCCTATGCTATCTGAAGAAACACTCCTCCAACCGGATGTCCCTCCCTTCTACTGCCTGTGCCTCCCCCCTTCTCTCTCTCTCCCTCCCTCCCCCCACCTCTCGACTTACCCTCATGCTCTATGTCTACTTCCAGTCAACTGGCTGCTTGCTCCGCCTCTTGACCTATGGTTGATTTTATTTAAATAGTGAAATGTCAGAGTTCACAGTGTGATCAAATATCTCGTAACCGAGCCCTTTCTTTACTTCTGCATCCTTAACTCTGAGATAGAATGATCATTGCTCAGATGTCTCATTAGCCCTGGAAAGGCACACTGGACTGAACTAGGAATTTGCCATGTTTCCTGATCTTAATCTTCCAGACACAGTAACAAGCTAAACTAGGCAGATGTGGCTGGTGGTCCTGTTCCGACGTTATTAACCTGGAAACAGGATTGAGTTCTGACTTGTCATTGTTCCCCAGAGACATGGCCCTTGCTCCTCTTGTGTTGACAGGCCACTCAGATCAGCTCTCTCTCCTCTGACTTCTTAGTCTAGTTGCATAGCTTAGATCTTAAGTATCTTCCAAATCTCATGTATCCGATGAGCTTTTGAGAGTAAAATCTTAGGGCTTACTTAATAGTTAGGTCCACATGGAAGATCTTCATGTGACTGAGGATGTTCCCTGACCTTGATCTCTCTCCTGTCTTTTTCTTCCCAGAAACGCATGCTTCTGCCATGATTTGCTGCTTCCTTATAGATCTAAGCTCAGTTATAGACTAGAATTTCCAAGACTGAGCACCAAGCCAATTTTTTTCCCTTTACAAGCTTATGTCTGATGTTTTGGTATAGGGTGGAAAGCTAACTTAGAGCATGACCTCCCTAAGGGCACCAGGCTTGTTGAATTCCTTGGCTCTAGGGTCTGTCTGCTCCAACCCTCTATACGCTCCTGTCAGAGTCTTTCTCCTCAAACACCTCAGTTTCAAGAGCATCATTCAAAAACCTCACACTTGGTATGACAGGGACTTGACAGATAATACAGATGAGCTATGGCTAGATTCAGTGGGTCTCCTAAGCTGGGACCTAACCTTTAGTTGTTGGCTTATTTGAGGTCAAGAGGTACCTCAGGAAGTCTCAGGGCACCTAGAGTTGTATTCAGGGAGATGAAGTGCCTTAAAACAAAACAAAAACAACCTCTGTGAAGTTATGGCAAAATTTAAACAGGCCAGTATCCATTTTGGATGTCATTCTCAATAATGCTCCAGGGGAACAGCACTTGGTTGGCATAATGGCTGATGTTGGTTGTCAACCCAACTATATCTATAATGAACTAAAATTCATGTCACTGGACAAATGCCTTAAGAGGGAGTCTCTTGATTAGATCAATTGAGGTGGGGAGACCCACCCCAAACCTGGGCCACATTTTCCAGTGGCAGTTACTTAAAAGGACATGAAAGAAGGAAGCTTTTGCTTTTTACCTGCTCGCCCTCATTCTCACTGGCAAGTTCATCTAACCATTGCTGCTGAGGCATTCCTTCACTGGTATTAGAACCTACTTCTTAGGGACTCCGATGTAGACTGAAGACTCTTTAGAAATCCTCCAGGACTCCAGAACCAGACTGGAACTTCTCAGACACCAGTCTTGTTAGCAAACAATAACTGGTTCTTAGCCTTTCTGTCAGGAGACAGGCATTGTTGGATTATCCAGACCACAATCTATAAGCCAATCAAATATATCCCATACCATTATATATATATTCTATCAGTTCTGTTCTTTTAAATAACACTTACTAATACACCTAGTATATATGTGAAGCTATGAGTTTGATTCCTAGCACTACACATACACACAAAAACAGCTATAATCCTCCTCTGAATGCTGGATCAATGAGTATATGAGTTCATGCTATCAGATACCAAGATGTATTATTTAAGACAGTGGGCTCTGAAATACCTGAGAGAGACACTTTTGAAAACAAGCCTATCCTATCCCTGAGAAGTAATTTACAGTTTGCCTCTAGGTCTGTAACACAGAGATTCATGTTGTTTGGGGCCACAGGGGTTGAGCAATGTGTAGGCAAGTTCTTGGAATTCCAACAACAGAAGAGAATTCCAAATGGGTTTCATAACCAACTCTGGGGAGCGACGGGACAAAGTTCATCTCTGAACTCTCCACTGTATTCTGACCCGGGCACCAATGTTCTGCTTCTGCCATACGTGCACAGCTTGAAACAGCGTGGTACAATAGGTTGGCATAGTGGAGAATTCCCACCTCCGCATTTTAATTCACCTATTCTCTAACTCATTCACTAGTTTCACAAACACCGAACACCCAATATAGTTCAGCAAGTGTGCTGCATTGTGGGCGTTAGAAATAAGTGTGACATAGACCCCATCACTGTGGAGTTCAAAGTCTGGCTGGGGAGAGTAATGAGTAATTGGCACACAGTGTCATATGTTCATCAGCAGAACTCCATATACTCCAGTGAGATGGCTCAGCAGGTCAATGTGTCTGTCCGCAAGCTTGGCAACCTGAGTTCAATTCTTAGGAGCCAGTTGGTGGGGGGGAAACAGCCTACTCCCTGAAGTTGCCCTCTGATCTCCATGTTTGTGTACACACACACAAACACACACACACACACACCACAACTAAATGAATAAATAAATGTTTTAAAAAGCCCTGTGTATAACTCTACAGGTTGCTTATTAGTGAAACAGAATAGGGGCAAATCATTCTGTGTGTGTGTGTGTGTGTGAGAGAGAGAGAGAGAGAGAGAGAGAGACAGAGAGAGAGAGAGAGAGAGAGAGAGAACCTCTCCAAAGTGATAACATGATGTACTTCCTAAAGAATATCCATTCAAAGAAAAGGATAGAAATTTCTCACAGAGAGAAAAGGGAGGATATCTATCTATCTATCTATCTATCTATCTATCTATCTATCTATCTATCTATCTATCTATTAATCTATCTATCATCTATCAATCAATTATATATCTATCATCTATCATGTTTGTATGTATGCATGTATTATCTATGTATCTATAATTTAAGCAGAGGAGTGATAATAATCTGATTTGCATTTATAAAGAGAATGTGGAAATTCTAGACTTGGTGTCTGGGTCTCTTTGGGTGACAAGCCAGGAAAATGGAGGCATGGAACCAAGATGATTTTTAGGGTTTGGTCTCAGGAAACTTGGGATATTTCCTTCCCTTGGTAGCTCTGATAATGGAGTTTGGGGGTGGAGGTGGCTAGAAATGAAGCGGGAGACGAAAAAACATCTTAAATCACATGACAGTTTGGATTTTATCCTCTATGTCTATAATTAAAGGCACAGATGTAGATAGCTTTTCTTTCTTTAAGGAAAAGTAACTGGGGCGATGGGAGCATTTGCTCGCTCATTTGCGTCCTTTCTTCCTGTCCTGTGATGTTCTTTCTCACTCAGCCCTTGAAGGCCCACACTCTCCCTTTGAGTGGCTAAAGAGCCTCTGAACTTCTGTAGAGTTTGATTGCACCTGCCCACATAAACCTCTCCTGACTTCACACAGTATTGAGGACTCCGTCTAGTGCTTAATGGGTCTCTAACTGCTTCCCGTTTTAGTTTTATCTTCTTCACTACACTAAATTTTAGAACACGCAACATAAGAGAAACCTAAACTACTTATGAGCTCAGTGCGCTAGCAGAGACTTTGTTGACCAGCTTCACAGTGGACCCAACCAGGATGGTGGTTTTAATAATAGTATCCACATAATGTTTTCCTTAATCGAAGACCCTAATATCTATAGCATATTGTCTTACATTAAATATGCCCAAACTGCTTTAAATATTATCAGTACCAGTTAGTAACACCAGGGTTTACAGGAGATGAATTTTGCATCTTAACTGATGATTGGTTAAAATTTAAATTTTCAGAAGATAGAAGGCATGAAGAGAGGGTAGAACTTCCCTTAGTGAGAACATCAGTCATGATCCTGCAAATGCGCATCAGAACCACAGATCTGTCACTGGCAACAAGCACGCCAGTGTGGTACATGTGCTGGCTAGTTTATACGTCAACTTGACATAAGCTGAAGTCATCTAAGGGGAGGGAGCCTCATTTAAGAAAAGGCCTCCACAAGATCAGGCTGTAGGCAATCCTGTAGGGCATTTCCTTAATTAGTGATTGATGGGGGAGGGCCCAGTCCATTGAGGGTGGTGCCATCCCTGGGCTGGTAATCCTGGGTTCGGCTGAGTGAGCCATGAGGAGCAAGCCAGTAAGCAGCACCCCTCCATGGCCTCTGCATCAGCTCCTGCCTCCAGGTTCCTGTCCTGTTTTGAGTTCCTGTCCTGATTTCCTTCAACAATGAACAGTGATGTGGAAGTGTAAGACAAATTGACCCCTCCCCGCCACACCCCAATTTGCTTTTGGTCATAGTGTTTCATCACAGCCTTAACTAAGAGGGTTCAGTAAGTTTGGGTGAGAACAAGGAGGAAGGGAGCCTCTGGTCAGGTGTGAAGACACCTGGAACACTTAGGAGGCTGACGTGAGAGCGTTCAAGTTGAAGGAAGTCTGGCCTTCATGGCGAGACAGACTGTCGAAATTAAAAAGAAAGGAACCTCCATGTATCTGTACTCTTTGAAATTAGGGAATTACTAAATCTATTCTGAAAAATGGTGTGGATGGTTCCCACAAAGCTAGACGTAAAGCAGCCATGGGTCCAGCATTCCTGTTCTGGGTATGTGACTGAGAGAAATGAAGTCACACCTCCTAAACTGATCCACACGCGGTGTTATTCACAGCATCTGTGTGTCATTGACAGGCAAGCAGACGGAGAAATGGTTCCATGTATACACAACTGAATACTATTCAGTCATTAGGAAGAAAATGATTTTGCTGCTTTGGTTCAGGGTGGGAGGCACTGAGCTAAGAGAGACACTGCACCATCTTGGCCTGTTAGGTATGTGGTTACGTAACAGGTAACCAAGGGAACTGCAGCTGGGCTGTGGGCGCCGCCCCCTGATGCCAAGAATGGTCGTGTGGTTAAACATTACTGACACTGTGTTTAGGATCCTCCTGCTATGAACGAAACCCAGGCCCCAGAGGCTTTCTCAGTTACCACATTTGCACTAACGAAGGGTCTGTACCCCCAAGAGACCCTGGGTTTATTATAATGTCATTTCCACTGTGATTTTGACCCCCCCCTCTTTTGGTGTTTGATCCGAGAGGGAAATTCGATCCATCATGATTTGGGGCAGCGGGGGCGGGGGGGGGGGGGGGGGGGGAGACAAAGCTACACAGAGAAACTCTGTCTCGAAAAACCAAAAAAAAAAAAAAAAAAAAAAAAAATACAGAACTCAGAGAACTTCTACCCTGCCTTCTCCTTCCATTCAGCCCACCCCTTGCTTTCTCTGGAATGTACTATCCCTTTGCTTGGTTAAATTAATTTCGGCTTTACCTGTGTCTCTTGGCTGACTTATCTATTTTGAGAAGAACTGAGGAGAAACCTTCACCGGTAACATCTACCAGTTACCTGTGGAATCTAAAAATATATAAAGTAAACAAATACATAGAAATGGAGTAGAGCACGCTTGGGTGGATGGCGAGGCAGGAGCCAGGGAGAGAGTAACGGGAATTGTGTAGGATGGAGAAATCTAGAGATCCAGTGCACAGCACATGGGTGCCCTTTCCCTGAGCCCCAGTTGGTGTCTAAGTCAGGCCATGACAGCAGTGGCCTTACACACGTCCCCATCCTGTGCAGTGTGTGTACAGTACCAGGGTAACCGGCTTAAAAAACGGCGGCACTCGGGAGGATTCCTCGGTTTTCTCCCTCTACGGCTTCAGATCTCTGTCGCTTCTCTTTTCCCCCGACTTTTGAATTCATCTCGGGCAGATCCTCTGCCTCACTCGCCACCCCTGGATAGTCAAACAATTCGAGTTATAGTTATTGGGAAATCCAGACAGATGAAACATCAAGCCTTCAGGCTCTTAATTAAGAGTGTCTCCTGTTCAGAACCTGAATTCAGGAAACGGGGTGGGGTGGGGGGCTGTGGCAGCCTGCCCCTCCTTTTCCATCCCCCAGGATTCCGCTGATTCCTGCACGTTTGGAGCAAAGGGTAGAGGGGAAGCGGGGTGATGGGACTTGGCGGAAATGGTATTTGGCCGGTGCCGTTTCAACATCTCTCTTGGCTGCAGAGTATCTTCTCTCAGGGAAAAAGACCAGGAGCTGGCCCACTTTTCTCATGAGGAATGTTTGTGGATCCCTGGAGGACATGCTCCTGTCCTTTTGAAGACCTGTTCACTATAGTCTGTGACATATTTAACATACACATTGGGTAATTCCACTTCCTACTCATTGAGACCACAGTTTTGCTCCATCAACCAGAGAACTTAAATTTCCATTTTCAGGAAAATTTTGCCATCTGTCTCTCAAGTCTATCTCCAAATCAGTCACTCTCTGGCCAGATTCAATTCTCCTTATTCACAAGTAATGCATGCTGAGAATCCCAGCTGTGGAGAACTCTGAGCACTGTGTTACTACACACACACACACACACACACACACACACACACACACACACACACACACCAGGTTAATCTTGATTGAAAACACCTACAAGGTTCTCGGTGCACTCTGGGTGTTCCTGTGAGGATGTTTCTAGAAAGGACTCCGTTGAGACTCTGACCTGATGAACGGTTCGATCCAGTGACAGATTTGAAGTTTGAACAGGCCATTGGAAGGTGGTAAAACTGTAAACATCAAGGAAGGAAAAACTGACTGGAGGACAAAAGGCCCCGGGTCCACATCCTTGGGGAATATTTTGTCCTAGCATTGGTGGTATAGCACAACTCAGCCCAGAAGTGTCACCAGCAACCTGGGGAGTCCTCCTGCGCTTTAGGGCCCTCCACTCAGGTAAAGCAAATCCTTGATTATGCTGCAGAGAAGAATATCTGGAGAAGCCAGCATGAAGCAGAGTTGGGTTTGTTAAAAGGAAGTTTTGAGCATAGACTAAGTTCAGGGGTCAATAACAAGAGAAGCTCTCAAAGAAAGGGCGGGCTTCCCAAAGGACAGCTGTGGGTCAGCGGCTCAGCGATAGGCAGAAGGGTGACTTTTGTGGCTGTCGAGTTACATCTCGAAGGGTTGCTGTAAGAACCGTTTCCTCTCGTTCAATAAATGAGGTTATGAAGTGGCTAATGAGGACCCTCGAGATTATAATCTGAGAAGAAAAAAACCTGTGTCACAGGTTACACAAGGTGGTTAAGACGCGACCTGTACTGTACAGAGGATTTCTGGGAAACTATGGATTTATGAGTGGGAAAGGAGAAAGGCCATCATACTTAGGCACTGAGCACGATCCATTGCTATGTTAACATTCTTACGTGGACATCTGTATCTAAAAGGAATATTGTCTCTATGCAACATCACAGCAAATACTATTACACATGCTAGAATTCTTGATGTCTCGCTACCCGCTGTTTGTCCTGCCTCACCGGCTGCTTCCTGTTACTGTACCACCGCACTTCCTGTTACTGCACCACTGTACTTCCTGTTACTGCACCACTGTACTTCCTGTTACTGCACCAGCACTTCCTGTTACTGTACTACCACACTTCCTGTTACTGCACCAGCACTTCCTGTTACTGCATCGCTGTACTTCCTGTTATTGCACCAGCACTTCCTGTTACTGCACTGCTGTACTTCCTGTTACCGCATCACTGCACTTCCTGTTACCGCACCACTGTACTTCCTGTTACCGCATCACTGCACTTTCTGTTACCGCACCACTGTACTTCCTGTTACCGCATCACTGCACTTCCTGTTACTGCACAGCCCCACTTCCAGTTATCGCACTACTGTACTTCCTGTTACTGCACCAGTACTTCCCGTTATTTCACCACTGCACTTCCTGTTACTGTACTAGTGTACTTCCTATTGCTGCACTGCCACACTTCCTGTTACTACATCACTGCACTTCCTGTTACTGCACTACTGCACTTCCTGTTACTGCACTACTGCACTTCCTGTTGCTGCACTGCCACACTTCCTGTTACTGCATCACTGGACTTCCTGTTGCTGCACTGCCACACTTCCTGTTCCTGCACCACTGCACTTCCTGTGAGCAGCTCCATGGTACCGCCTTCACCATGAAGGACTGAAACTTTTGAAACCGAGAAGGAAGAAGTCTTTCCTGTCTTAAGGGACGCCAGGCATTGTGCCGCAGCCGCACGAAGCTGACCAACACAACACGCAGGCAAATTTCACGTCCCTTCCACGGAAACTGTTTTCACATTCTGCGACTGTCGCTGTTACAGCTCGAGGTGTGCACAGAAAAAACGAGCACCGATTTCTTTTTCCTTTCCCACAGTGTCCAAGGCAGATTTGTTTTTACTGTAGAGTTTAGCATTATCAGATTGAGGGTTTTTTTCCCCCTTTATTAGTCTTTTTCCTTTATTTCGCTTAAAGGAAGCACTTTCCAGCCCCCTGTGTCTAAATTGCCAGTGTCAGGACAATTAAACTTTGAGGTCATTGCCATATAAAACCAGGGTCTCTCAAACACAGGCACCTTGAGACCTTTGCCAGATGATGCCATGACCAGCAAGAGGGCTACCAAGTGGCCCGTGGGGACGTGGCGTATGCCATTGGATTTGCAGGACGAAGAAATGATCTGTGTCTGGGTGGACAGAGCAGGGCAACGTGAGATTTCACGAGTGCTACTCAGAAGATATGCGATTATAAACTGGCACATTTTTATTTCTAGAGTTTTCCACTTAATCGTTTTGGATTATAGTCGCCCATGGGAAGCTGAAACTGGAAAGAGAAACTCTAGATAAATGGGGCTTTTGCATTCTCTAACTCAGATGTGTTCACTACAAAACTCCAGAGCTCCTTTGGGCCCCAACTGGAGAAGTTCTGTGATATTCTCTGTTGGACATGGTCCTTTACCTCAGCAAATCCTCTCCTGCTTCACCTTTGCAGACGTCACGCCCAGCTGGCTGGTCACTGTAGGGAAGCAGGTTCAAAAAAGACACCCCAGACCTTGGAGCCTCCTGAGGTAAGGGTCCAGGAGACAGGTGTGTGTTCTCAGCATGATTTCCAAAAGAGACCAGGGAGTGCATGTCAAGGTGTATGTGTGTGTGTGTGTGTGTGTGTGTGTGTGTGTGTGTGTGTGTGTGTAGGGTTTATTCGGCTTACACTTCCACATTGCTGTTTATCACTGAAGCAATCGTGATAGGAACTCAGACAGGACAGGAACCTGGGAGCCAGGAGCAGATGCAGAGGCCATGGAGGAGTGCTGCTTACTGGCTTGCTTCCCCTGGCTTGCTCAGCCTGCTTTCTTATAGAACCCAGGACCACCAAGGACCACAGCCCAGGGGTGGCACCACCCATGATGGACTGGGCCCTCCCCCATTGATCACTAACTGAGAAAATGCCTTACAGCTGGATCTCCTGGAGGCATTTCCTCAGCTGAGGCTCCTTCCTCTCCGATGACTCTAGCTTGTGTCAAGCTGACACAAACCCAGCCAGTACAGGTACTATTTCCAGGGCATCAGTGAGGAGATGAACTTGGATGTAAAAATCTGTATCACTGGAGCCCTGATAACAGGAGCACTTGTTCTAAATGTCTCAGGGATTTGCCAGGAGGGGGAAATGGTGTGAGGGTGTGCTGATGAGAATTCTCACCTGAGCCTTCTTTGTACATAGCACAGTGGTGATTCTCAATTTTTATTCCAGTGTAGATAGCTGAGACCTAAAGCAGCCATTCTCAACCTGTGGGTCATGACCCTTTTGGGGGTCACAGATCAGATATCCTGTGTATTACCATTCATAACAGTAGCAAAATCATAGTTATGAAGTCGCAATGTAATAACTTTATGGTTTGGGGGTCACGACAACATGGGGGACTGGATTAAAGGGTCATAGTATTAGGAAGGTTGAGAACCACTGCTTTAAGGGATGGGATAGGCTACCTTGCTACAAAACATGCACACAGAAAGCAGACCCAAAACATGGGTCTGAATTCACAGACCTCTGGAATAGATGACCGCCTCCCCACATGGGCATACATCCCAGCTCTGGATGGGCAAACATCTCCTTGTTTCCCACTCTTCCAACCCCTGGACCAGCTTGGCAAGAAGCTGGGGCATAAGTGAGGAAGTCAGAAACACACAGCAGCTCATCCTCCTCCACACTGAAGACTGCCTGAGAGCTTCCGGGAATTATGTGTCACGCTTCGGCCACTCTCCAGGTTGTCAGTTGGCGCCAATTTAGGATCCTCTGTGAGCTGGTAGTCTGTGGCTAACCTGGGGATAGAATCACTTACCTATTTCCTTGGGGAAAATGGCGAATCTGCTCCAAAGAACCAAGTTCTGAAACTTTGGAGAGTCGAGGTTTCTCATGAGTGGAGTCCAGCCTTGGCTTTCTTTATGAAAGAGGACAAACCCTAGTAGACAGCCGGGTATTGGTCTGTGAGGCTGAAGACCGAGAATACACATGATCAGAAAGCAATGCTTTCTAGTTCTATTGGAACAGCCCTCCCCCATGACCTTATGACTCTGTTTCCTTTAGCTCCCACTGTTCTCTGTGTCCCTGGGAGGGGTAGGAAAGACTGCTACTTACTTATGTGGACATGGATTTTTTTTTTTTAATTCTTCTCCGGGGCTGAATAACCAGTTGTCGGAGTGATCTGATCACCTCCCCCTAAGCTAACGGTAGTGTGGATCTGCTTTTGATGCGCTGTGTTATATAGAAAGCACAAGCAAAATGAATAATTCATGAACCATGTGGGCCATTTATGATTTATTTACAGCCCCACATTCAAAGTAACTCAGAGAGCATCACAGGGCCCGTCGCCTGGCCTGCCATTTACAGTGGGGAGAAGACAATGACAGATCACAAGAGATTTATTATAAGTTTATATACAGCAGGAAAGAAGAAGTGTCTGCTGAGAAGTAAACTGAATATTGAGGATCATAAAAGGTGACTTTAAAAAAATTAGAGGTATCAAACAATTGACTACTAATGCTTTGCAAGAAACCTCACAATGATATAGAGATTGACTACTAATGCCTTGAAAGAACAGCCTGCTACCCCCACCCCGTGATGACACAGGTTACCACTTTCAGGACTTTTTTTCTAATTATTTCTTTATGGCATCTTGTGATTTAAAAAAAAAAAAAAGCTTTTACTGGGTATTTGTATTTATTTCTTAATAAGATCTGATTTTTATGATTTTTTATACAAAATATTTTGATCATATTCTTTCCTTTCCCCCCAGTGCCTCCCAGATCCTCCTCATTTCATAATATCTTAATGACAGAGGCTGAAATCTGTACAGTGATCAGGAGAGATACCATTTTTTCAGCTTTCCACTATACTATCTAGAGCCGTGGTTCTCAACCTTCCTAATGCTGTGACCCTTTAATGCAGGTTCCTCATGGTGTGGTGAACCCAGGTCCTAAAATTATTTTTGTTGCTACTTCATGACTGTGATTTTGCTACTGTCATGAATCATAATGTAAATATCTAGGTTTTCTGATGGTGTTTGGGGGGGGGGGTCACGACTCAGAGGTTGAGAACCATTTCTCCAGAACATCATTTGTAGACCTTGTGTTAAATACCACCACACATCTCCGGCTTTCTTACCCAACCATCGTCTTCATCCTTAGTCTACAGCTCCCCAGCTCGGAGGGGAGGTTGCTCCAGACATGACTCATCACCATGGTACTGTAACATTAATAGAGTTACCCTGTGGCTAATGAAACAAGGACTTAGGATACTGTCATGGTGGGAGCAGACATGGATTAGTCTTCACTGAAAGTGACCGTTTCAATCAAACAGGAAAAAAGATGGTCACTATAAACTGAAATTATTTTTAAAGTCCTTCATGAGTTTTCATAAATGATAGCCCCATGTGCTCGGTAATCCTTGAGGCTTAGAAGCATCCTGTACTTGGATATCTGCATAGAGTCAGGGTGGGGAAGTTAAGGTTGCATGCAGACCTTGAGCCAAGGTAGGCAGGTAACAAGGGAAGTCAATGCTACAGTCACAGCTGAGAATTCTTGACGATGAACATACAGTTGGATTATAGGTTCTGGGGGTTCTTTGCCACCACGTTCTGCCTTTTGCACAAAGCCACCCCCGTTGCCCACACTCACATTGGTATCTTTGTCTTTAGTAGAGATGGAGGCAGACACAAACACATTCGTTTTTTGCTGGAGGTACTTCTGTGAGTGAGCTGTTCCCTTGGCCTTTTGTGCCGATAGCAGTAACTTCTCTCCCTAGAAAAGAGCCTTTGTAAATGGTCCTTTGCATGGCTCTTATCTCCTTCCTGTCTTAACATGTAGCTAATGCTTTGGGAGTTTGTTTTCATCTGCCTGGTATGACAAATCACGATAGACTAGGTGTCTCAGAAATGATATTTCTCTTTCACAGTTCTGTGCTTCAAGATCAAATGCTGGCAGTCTCAGTGTCTGGTGGATCTTCTGATTGACAGGCGGCTACCCTTGCACTGTAGTCTCCCTTGATGGAGAGTGAGATCATTTCTTTCAAATGATATCACTTCACTTCTTATAAGGGTGTGATTCCCTTCATTCATAAGGGCTCTAACCTCATGACTTAGCTATGTGCCAGAGATCCCTCCTCCAAATAACATCATACCATACTTAGCACATGGATATGAAAGGGACATAAATATTCAGTCCTCAGCAGAGTTTACTCCTGAATAAAAACAAATAGAAGCCAGGCGGTGGTGGCGCACACCTTTAAACTCGGGAGGCAGAGGCAGGCGGATCTCTATGAGTTCGAGGCCAGCCTGGTCTCCAAAGCGAGTTCCAGGAAAGGCACAAAGCTACACAGAGAAACCCTGTCTTGAAAAACCAAAAAAAGAAAAAAAAAAAAGGAAATGCGGAAATAAATTAAGTTTTGCTGGGTGGTGGTGGCGCATGCCTTTAATCCCAGCACTCGGGAGGCAGAGCCAGGTGGATCATTGTGAGTTCGAGGCCAGCCTGGGCTCCCGAGTGAGTTCCAGGAAAGGCGCAAAGCTACACAGAGAAACCCTGTCTCGAAAAAACCAAAAAAATAAATAAATAAAAAAAATACAAGTAAGAGGGATTCTTTTTAGTTTATTTATTATCATTATTTTTGTGGGTGAAGGGGGCACACATGAAGTCAGAGGACAACTTTCAGGAGCTAATTCACCCCTACCATGGGGTTCCAGGGATCAAACTCGGGTCATAAGACTCATGCATCAAGAGCCTTTACTCCTTCTCACTGGCCCAAACTACTAGGGCTTATTAACAGACAAATGATGCTCAGTGGTTGAAGACTGTGGGTATCTGTGAGGTCTATGTGCCCAGCTCTAGCGCATCAATGTGGGATGCCACACTGTGACTCTCATACCTGTTGCATCCCTAGCTTTGGTTGCCCTAGTAACCCCATCATCATTATACAGCTTTGCAAGCAGCAAGTTAACATGGATTAAAAAAATCTAGAGTAGCATTTAGAATGACATAGAAAACACCCCTCCTTTGTCATATTCAATGTTGCTATAGTCCAGCTCTATTAGGATATCATATCCATATCAACCGGGTGTGATGTCCACTGTTAAAGGCTCCAGGCTGACGACATCTTAAAGGGATCAAAAATGAGAACGAACTGACTCCATTGAATACCTCATAAAATAAGTAGATCTTTCCCTGGAGGTTCTGAGTTAGTGCGTGAGATACTGTTAAGATCCGTCTTACTTTCTCCTGTAGGATTAAAAAAAAAAAAAACCAGTTTATTTAGGAAAAAACAAAAAACAAAAGTCTTGCCAAACAAGGACAAAAGCTGTGTCTTTGGCTCTGATTCAGTGAGGGAAAGTAAAGCACATGCCAAGTCATTGAATCAATGTCTTCAGAGTGGAAAGGGTCCTCAAGGAAAAATCTTCCGCTCACTGTGTCTGTTATGGCCGCGATGCCATGTACCACAGCTGCATCTCCCACACGCTCCTCAGACTGCTGAGCCCATTAATAGATATTGGCAAATGGCCCACCAGTTCCAGGATGCTGGGAACTAGCTAGGCCGCTGTGAGTTAACCTAACCCATCAGCATGGAGGGGCAGGGGTGGATCAGAAGTCAGCATTTGACCCTGCACTTTCCACACTGGGCATGTGGGGATAGGGAACTGTATCAGTTACTTTCTGCCGCTATAATAAACACCCTGCATCAGACACCATGGCCAAAAGTGACTTATGGAAGGAAGAGTTTATTTGGGCTTACGGGTCCAGGGGGATAAAGGTCCATCATGGCGGGGAGGCATGGTAGCAGTCAGGAATGGTGGCGGGAGTAGGAAGCTGAGAGATTATACAAATAAAAAACGTGAGGCAGAGAGAGAGAGAGAGAGAGAGAGAGAGAGAGAGAGAGAGAGAGAGAGAGAGAGAGACCTGGGGGTAGAGCAAGGCTATAAAATCTCAAAGCCCTCCCGCAATGATCTGCGTCCTCCGGTAAGGCCCTACGACCTAACCCTATCTAAACAGCGCTATCTAAACCAAACCTATCTAAACCACCAGGGACCGCGCGTTAAAATACCTGACCTAGGGGAGATGGTTCTCATTCAAATCACCAGAGGGATTTTCCATGAAATATGCTTTAGCTGAGATGAGACTTTCAGGCCATCTCTGGGCAACCTGCCAGGATCAGAATCAGCCCCTTACCCTGACCCTAGAGACGGAGCTGCTCACCTGTCATGACTGAGCCTCTACCCCAGCAGCTTGTGAAGTGGCTGATTGAGTGCCAGAAGAAAGAAAATGCCCAAGTACTTTGGTCGGCACGGCAAGCCAGCTCGGCGCTGGTCTTGCCCCAGACAACAAACTGGCACATGGGGGCAAACTGGTGTTAATGAGTGTGTTAAAATTACAATCTGGCCAGGCGATGGCGGTGCATGCCTTTAATCCCAGCACTCGGGAGGCAGGGGCAGGTAGACCTCTGTGAGTTCGAGGCCAGCCTGGTCTACAGAGCGAGATCCAGGAAAGGCGCAAAGCTACACAGAGAAACCCTGTCTCGAAAAAAAAAAAAAAAATTACAGTCTGTCGTTGCTCTCTGAGAAGCTGTGATGAGGAGGATCCTGAGGGTGTACTGAGGGAAAGAGCACTGTGAGTCATGATGGCATTTCCTTGACCAGGTATATCACGAAATCTAAGGGAGTCTGCTTAAGGAGTATTAGGGAGTTTATACGGATATAAATTAGAGAGAACACTCACTAAACAGGATTGGGCAAATCATGGCAAAGTCCTGGAAGGCTGATGGCCGGTCCCACGCTGCTTCTGCTGCCTGAGTCAGTCCACACTATCCAAGCTCATGAGGGAGAGAAGAGAGCGAGGCCTACATGCACCTCAGGTTTTAAGATAGCCCCAAGGCCACACCCTAGGGGCTGGCACCTTAAGGTCATAGATGGAACAGGTACCCACTACAACCAGGGGTGGAAGAGTGGTGGTACCAATGCCATCACACATCATACATCCTACACAGTGCCACTGAAAGCTCTGGGTTGTGACTCGATCATGGAAATCTTAAAGCCTTTAGGCTGAAGACTGACTCTAGTCTTGTGGAATTTTGTGATGTAGTTAAGACAGTATTAAATACCATTAGCAGGATTTATGCTCTCTGCTCGCCAGAGAGGCCATGAGACTCCCAGTTTTCTTATGTTCAGCCAGGTCTCATGCTTCAGTGGCCTGAGCATTCTTGAGATTGCAAGCATCTTGCAGGTATTAGAGAAATACGAGCAGATTGTGAGCTGGAAAATAACATGATCAGGACTTTTTTTTTTTTTTTTTTTTTCAAAAATTGCTCTTGCAGGGAGTCTAAAAGCTTAGACTGGAGGGAAGCAAAAAACCCTGGAAGCTGCAATAGCTATTAAGAAGCATTGGAACTCTGTGTAAGAGTTATGCATACCCAAGCAGAGCTATGGAAATGGGAATTAGGGGACACACCAAGAAGTAGTCCAGCCGTGAAGTCTATGGGGAATACGGGCAAGGTGCCATGATACGCATGTGTGAAGTCCTCAGGATGAAAACAAAATTTTGGATGCTAACAACAACAACAAAAAATCAATAGCAGTGTAAAAGTGGAGATCAAGCCACATCTGGTGGTACACAGTTATACTCCTAACATTCATGAGGCTCATGAGTGCATGCGTGTATGCATGCATGCATGCATGCATGCATGCGCGCACACACACACACACACACACACACACACACACACACACACACACACCAAATAAGATCAACACTTAGTTTAAGTATATAGATGGATGAAGGAATCATTAAAAAAAAGATGAAATTATGTCAAAGCTTTAACCCTGAAGGATGAGGGAGAAGCAACTGTTCCTATTAACAAAAATAGGGAACTGAAGTAGAGGACCAAATTTAGGATGGTGTAAAAGACAGAGAGGAGATGAGGAGACGAATGTCAGAATCCTATTGTCCCGATGCAGATACTGCCCCTGACAGATGGGCTCATCCTGTAGAGTGTTTTCCTGAAGAAAAAAAAAAAAAGCTGTGCATTGAACACTGTGTCTTGTTCTAGCGTTTTCAAGGCTAGCAGAGGACATCCAATTTGGACAGCTGGCTGGGGCTAAAGGTTTGGTCTGTGGCTGTGGACTATGGCCAAATGAGCCGGGATGAAAGCTGTGCCCTTGACCAGAAGTTCACGGGGCGAGCGGGTAATCAGCCCCAGCCATTTCTGCCGCAGCATCTAATCAGATATCGGCTTCCTGTCTTCCCCCTCCTGGCCAGCTGGATGGCTGCCTTCCCTTCCTGCCTGTCCCAGCTCCCTGGATAGAGGTCACACTGAAGTTGTTCGTCTTTACTGATTGGATGACAGGGAATAAGAAGGTTTGCCTAGGTCAACAAGTGTGGGCGGAACGCTTTGCCGGATGTGTGGTGTCTCCCTCGGGCCACCTGTCCGGGCAGAGTCCTGCTTCATTCCACCAAATGTGAATCTCATTGAAAGTTGCTGCACATCCTCTCCCTGACACACTCTCCCAGAAGCCTGATGCTAAGGATCACTCTCACCTAGGGGGGCTCGGTTTACTTAGCAATTAATTTACTGAGTAGCTTGGCACAAACATCATTTCCCATGATTCCTTGGGTTCCCTGGGCTCAGGCAGATTCTCCCTCTCTTTTTACTTCTTAATTATGTGTCCGTGTCTGGGTATGTACACTAAAGTGCAGGTGCCCTCAGAGGCCCGAGGTGTCACGTCTTCCTGGATCTGGAATTGTGGTCTATCTGATGTGGGTGCTGGGAACCAAATCAGGGTCTCGGAGAGAGCAGTACGAACTACTGAGCCCTGAGTGACCTCTCCAGTCCCTCGGGTGGAATTCTCATGGAACTCTCAGGCAGCTAGGGATGGGGTGGAAACAACCAAGGTGGTTCCTTCGCATGCCTGGTCCTATGCCAAGGACAGACAGATGCTTCTGATGACTTGATCTCTTCCCATTACCGTGTGGGCTGTGGGTTCTCTCGCTCCATCTCTCCCCTCCGATGACCTCTTCCACGGGGTAGCTGAACCTCCTCTAAGTGACTCAGGAATGTCCACAGCACAAAAGCAGAAGCTGCTGTACGTTCTGTGACTTGGCTCCAGAACGTTGCCATAGAGACAGACAGCTCAGATGAGCATTGGGAGGTGACTATATAATCTGTATGAGTTGGGGGAGCATAATTCATGGAGGACAGCTTCCTAGTGCTTTCAGAATAGAAGGTCCTGAGGCCTTCTAGGTACCCCACCTCCTCGGACCTTAACTATTATCGTCATTGCTTTCATGCTTTTCTTCTTCCTGGAGAGTGGAGTGGATGTGGGTGTGGATGTGGGGAACTAAGGGAGCCTTGCTGGACAGACATGCAGGGTCACCCATAAAGTCAAGCAGTGCTAAGAGAATGGCAGTGACCATTGCCAAGGTCACCAAGGATGGTATGGATGGTTAAGACTCTTGCTCCCCAGGTGATTATTGGGAGGTGGTAAAGCCTTTAGGAGGCGGGGCCCAGCGGGAGGCTTTCAGATTATTGAAGCAGCCTTGAAGGGGAGAGTGGGACCCCAGTCCATGTCTGTCTGCTCCCCAGAACCTTCCATCCCGCTTCCTAGACTGTGAGAAGAGTGGTTTTATTATCCAGACACTCCAGCTATGATGTTGCCCAGAACAATAAAGCCTACTTGTCACAGACTGAAACCTCCGGTGACTTTGAACTCTGACTAATGCATTGTGGTTTATAGTGGCTTTAGAGAGAAAGAGACAGATAGCATGTGTTTTCTTCATTTATGAGATCATAGATTGTACACATATATCATATATGACATGAGAGATGTCTGGAACAATGAAGGGGACTAGAAAAGGGCATGGGTGACTATGATCGAAGCAACAACCCCTTTTTCTTTGTAAGTTATTTTTAAAAGTCATACAGAGCTGGCTGTCATAGGGAGAGACACAGAATACACAGAGCGCTGAGGATTTTGAAACTGCTAATAGTATGGTTCCAACATAGAGTGGGGTTTTATAGAAGGAGAGGCCAGACAATAAAAGAAATTATATCCCAAGCCAAGGAATTTTTATTTGCTTTCCTCCATACTGAAGAGACTTTAAGAAGAAAAAAACTTGATCAGATTTGCACCTTGACAACTTGGGTGTTTCCTGGAAGGATTAACTGATGTGGGGAAGACCTGACCCCAGAATGGACAGACAGCACCTTGTCCCAAAGAAGCCTAAATATAAAGGCCCCAGGGAAAGCTGCGCTGCTGTTGCCTGCCCTGCTTAGCTGCCAGCTGGTGAGCACATCTACTCTGCTGCTGCTGCTGCTACTCTCCTCCTTCACCGACACCGGAACTGGGTGTTTGGTCTTCCACTGTGGAGTGTATACCAGCGACCCCCTGAGAATCCATCAAGCTTTTAGCACCAGATTGGAAGACCATCAAAAACCACAGCTATTTACATTCCAATTCATAACAGTAGCAAACTTACAGTTATGAAGTAGCAACGAAAATGATTTTATAGTTGGGGGTCACCACACCATGAGGAACTTTATTAATGGGTCGCAGCGTTAGGAAGGATGAGAACCACTGCCCTCCATAGTCAGACCCTGTCTAAAACACAAAAATCACTTGGAGATTATTTTCTCTGGAAAGTGCTCTTATAGCAGAGACGCTGTGGTTTGGCTTTTTAAAAATCTCTTTATGGAATGACACCAGGTCAACAGTGATGCTATTGTGCCTTGGACTAGAATGACAGGCAGAAAGGAGGCTGACCCCAGTAGGTACTCTCTCTGAAGAGATAAAGGGCAGCTCTGGAATTCAGTCACCTGGTGGGCATTGTTTTCCTTCTTTCTGTGAAGGTTGAAGCTGCTTAAGGGAACTTCTTTGTGTCTCACACAAATGAGCAGAAACCGTGCAGAAGCCTCAGCAGGTTGAAGACCTCTAGGAGTGAGTTCCTTGAAAATGTACAAAGGAAACCCCGAATGAGTTATAGCGGTCTGGACTCAGCCTCGACCCCCTGAAGAAAACATGGAACAAATCAGGCTGGAGAGAAGCCACTATTTCGGTAGCCTGGAATGAAAAGGCCTGGCTGGAAGTTGGAAGAGACCACGGGCAGATAAGCCCCCCAGCGGGAGGGGGGCTGCCCCACAAGGGGATGGAGCAAAAATGACCCACAGAGGCGGTTCCTTTTGATCAGTTTCTTTGAGTGCTCACAGTACAACCTTGAGCTTTTTACTGACATGCCTTATTCGTCATTAAGGAGTCACTTTGGGAGACTTGCTGAGACTTCTCCCTATTGATCTCAGTCCCAACTACTGTCAAGAGCGTCCTCGTCCAAGCTGCTAGTTAAAGAGAGGCAGCCTTTGGACAGCTCACTGTCACCTCCGCCCAAGTCTTCTTGTTCCTTGTATGTAAACTCAAGCCGTGGTAGTGCCCCATGCTTTAAATTTTCACTCCACATTTGTGAACTGGAGCTTGACCATGTCCAGTACTCCAGCAGGATGACTCTTGGATAGATTTCGGCCTTATACACATTTCATCCTGCTGGAATACTATTGGACTTTTCTGGATTTTCTTACCTTGAATATTAATTGAGAACTTGTCACACTTTCTGGATTTAAAAACATAAGCAAATTTCATTGGCCATTTTAGGCACCTCTTTTGTGAAATTCATGTTAATGCCTTTTGCTGACTTTTCTTGTTTTAATGACTTTAATTTTTATTGAAAATAGATTTTTTTTGGTACAATGTATTCTGATCACTGTTCCCTTTCCCCCAATTCTTTCCAGACACTTCTCACCTCCCCATTCACCCAAATCCACGCCTTTTCTTCCTCTCTTGCTCTCATTAGAAAACAGGAAACAACAACAACAACAATAGCAACAAAATGAAATCAGACAAAACAAACAGAAAAAAAAGCCAAAGAAAAAGCACAAGAAACATATATCGACGCAGAGACATACATACTCATACACACAGAAATCCCATAAAAACACACCTTTAGCAAACATACTATATAAGCAAAAGACCTGTTAGGTTAAAAAAAAATGTTCAGACAAAACATTATCAGACAAAACCCTTCCAAAGATACCATTGAGTTCATTTTGTGTTGGCCATCTCCTGCTGGGCCTGGGGCCTGACCTTGAGTGTGGTTTGTATACCCAGTGAGACGCCCTTGGAGAAACTAATTTTTCCTTTGCAAGGGGTCATCAGTTGGGGATGGCGTCTTGGTTAGGGATAGGCGCTCATGTCTACTTCCCTGTCTCAGCACTGGGCCCATGTGGCTTGGGCCTGTGCAGGCCCTGTGAATGCAGCCACGGTCTGTGTGAGTTCATATGTATATCAGTGAGTTAGCTTCCTTGATAGCTTCCATCCCCACTGGCTCTTATAATCCTCCTGCCTCCTCATCCACAGCTATGTGAGCCCTGAGGGGAGGGTTTCATAAAGACATCCATTTAGGGCTGGGCGTTCCAGGGTCTCTCATTTTCTGTTCATTGTCCAATTGAGAATCTCTGTATTCGTTACCATCTAATGCAGGAGGAAGCTTCTCCAATGATGGCTGATCGAGACATGACCTACGAGTATAGCAGAATATTATTAGGAGTCATTTTGTAGATACAGAACAGTAGTGTCTGGTTTTCTGCTAGGTCCATAGCCTATCAAGTCTCAGGTTCTTGGCCACCCAAGCAATGTCAGACATGGGTTCCAGGTCCTTAAATCCAGTCAGTGGTTGGTTACGCCTGGGAGCTTTGTGCTACTATTGCACCAGGGTATCATGTAGTCAGGCCACCACTGTAGATCGAAGGGTATGTGGCTGGGCTGGAGTTCACCTTCCTCCTCTGGTGGCATGCAGAGGACCTTCTAGTTCCATGCACACTGGTCAGTAGGGAGGAAGGCTCTAGGTAGGCACGAGCTCGACCCCTCCTTGTTCAATGAGTTATGTGGGTGTTGTCTTCAGCAATAGGGCCTTACCAGAGTTTGTGGGGAGCGACCAATAGCAATGGCAAGAGCTTGAGTTGTTTGAGGGTTTCCGTGGGGTTCCCATGGCCAACAAACCAATTAGAAATAAGCCATTCCTGGCACTGGAGATTTTACTTGGTGGTGAGAGGTGTCTAACTGGGGCTTTGTCTCCTTCAGTGCTTGGTGATTCCTCTTAGATTTCTTCCATATGTGTATATAGTTTAAGAAGTTCCTACTGTAGTGGGTTTCCAAATGAACCCTCAGATGGCCTTTAGTTTTAGCTGCTCTTTCCTATCTTCCTTTCTTCCCCTCTCTCTGATTAATTCTCCCATTCTAGTCTCTCTGCCCCCAACCATCTATAATTATATATTCTATTTCCCCATCCTCAGGAGATTCTTCCCTCTGCCCTAGTCCCTTACTCTACACCTAACCTCTGTCATTATATGGAGTATAGCCTACTTATCAAAGACTTAAAAGCTAACATCCACATCTAAGAGAATTCATACCATATCTGCATTTTTAGGTCTGTGTTACCTACCTTAGGATGATTTTTTCCCCCTAGCTTCATCCATTTACCTATAAATGTTATGGTCTTTTTTTTAACAGTTGAGTGATAATCCATTGTATAAATGTACCACATTTAAAAAAATTTATTCACCACTGATAGACATGTAGCTTGTTTCAATTTTCTGGAAATTGTGAATAGAGCATGGATGAGCAAGTATCTCTGCAGTAGTATGTTTGACTTTCTAAATTTTCCATCTCCAATTTTGTCCCAGTTTGGGTTTCTGTAGTGAGTGGATCTATGTCTCCTTTCATGCCTTGAACAGTTTTCTTCATCTCTTCCTAGTTGGTGATTTCATTGAGTTCATTAATATATTCATTTATATTAATATTAATATATATTAATATATTCAGGACTCTTTAAGGTCCCTGAACATAGATGTAATGGCTGTCTCTGAAGTCCTTGTCTTGTCCTCCTGCTATACTGTATTTCTCAGGACTATTGTAGTAGGGTTGCTGGCTTCTGGTGGAGACATATTGTCTTTGGTGTGAAGGATTGTGTCTTTACACTTGGGATGATTGTGATTCAAGACGCTGATATCTGGTCTTGTCTTTGTTGGATGGATATTCTGCTCCTTGTTTTCTGTTGTTGGATATTGAGTGTGTGGTGGCTGGGGGTGGCCTGGTAGGTAGTGTTTCTGAGTTCCTGCCAGGTGTGGCCACGGGTAGAACATGTTTCTAGGTATTATGGCTGTCTTAGTGTTCTATTGTTGTGAAGAGACACCATGACCACAGCAACTCTTATAAAGGAAAACATTTAATTGGGGCTGGCTTAGAGTTTCAAATGTTTCATCATGGTGGAGAACCTGGTGGTACACAGCCAGACATGGTGCTGGAGAGGTAGTTGAGAGTTCTACATCTGGATCACAGGTAGTAGGAAGAGAGGGACAGTAGGCCTGGCTTGGGCTCTTGAAACCTCAAAGCCCACCCCCAGTGACACACTTCCTCCCACAAGGCCATGCCTCCTAATCCTTCTCAAATAGTACCACTCCCTAGTGACCAAGGATTCAAATCTGTGAACCTATGGAGGCCATTCTCATTCAGACCACCACAGGGGGTGGCATGAAGAAATGGGAATGGGCTAGAAGGGGAAACATCTCCAGGAAGGAGAAAAGCTACGACAGGGTTTGGTAGAGTCTCCAGGGAATGGAGGTAGAGAGGGAAGAGAGGCTCCTGCATGTGGTCTGCTGCAGGGCTGGGGTTGAGACTGGGGGATTTGCAGTGCAGCAGAGGAAGGAATGTGCAGACAGCCTGCAGATTCCTGGGCAGCCTGGCTGCTGAGTTCCCAGACGGGGAGTCCCTCCAGGTACTGGTGGCTGACTCCGCGGAGGAAAGGGAGTGGACTAGAACCGGGTGCTGAGAGGGTCACAGGGAGGGAGAAAGCTGGACCTGCCTTGAGGTTCAGTGGAGTTTCCCAGCATGGAAGCAGAAAGGGGGTAAAGAAGGACAGCCCCTGCAAGGGGTCTGCTAGGGCTGGGGATGAGACTGGGGGATCTGTAATGGAGAGCAGGAAGGACAGTGAAGACGGCCTGATTCCAGCCTGCCTAGCCGCTGGGTTCCCGGGTAGAGTGCCAGAGGAATGGAAACAGGCTGGAATGGAGGGCGGAGAGGGTCCCCTGAAAGGAGGAAAGCTGGGTGTGCAGAGGTTTGGAGGAGTCCCCAGGGAATGGAGTCAGGGAGGGAGGACAGCCTTTGCTGACTTTTCTATGGAGTCACCTGGTACTTTTGTCATTGGTGTGTGTGTGTGTGTGTGTGTGTGTGTGTGTGTGTGTGTGTGTGTCTGTCTGTCTGTCTGTCTGTCTGTGTATATAACTTGAACATAAATCCCTTGTTGGTTGTAAGTATTGTAAATACCTTTCCCCACTCTGTGGCTTTCATCCTCAATATTTTGATGTGTCTTGATGAAAAACAACAAAACAAAACAAAACCCCTAATTTCCTAAAGTTCAGTTTATTTATTTTTTTTCCTGGCTAATGTTCTGTGTGTCCTAAGAAATATTTGCATGGCATCAAGACAGAAGGCCCACTCTTAAAGTTACTTCTAGAAGAATTATTTTCCCTTTCAGCTTTATCAACCCATCATAGGAAAAATGGAACAATTTTTTTTTTTCAAGACAGAATGTAAAATCAGTGCCTCTCACAGTCACCATTATCAAGCCCGGTTTTATTTACAAGCCCATAACAATTCCCTAGTGATGCTTCCCAGTGATTCTGTAATAAATATTCAGCCCTTTGTGTACTATGTCTAAAAAGAACACTGGGCCAGACCCTGGGGTCTTTCTGGACTCTCCTTACTTTCCTGAAGGCTCTCTGCACAGAGCTAGATGAGCAGAAGATACTGCTTAGTTGAAATATGATGCTAAACAGAGCCAGGCCTTGAACCCCAGCCCTAGGCCTCAGTCTGAGACCTTAGACAAGGAGTTTAACAGCATTCCACCTTGGTTTTCTGGAAATTAAGCTTGATCGTAGCTAGGACTTTGAATGTCTGCTACCCTCCAAACTCTGTGTAAGCGCTGCACCTGAATAAACCCATGTAACCCCCACAGCTGCTCAGTTACCCGTGAACATGAAGCAGCATGATTGCTTTACAGACAGTGGAGGGGACAGAGGAACGGAGGAGTCCGACCCGGTGAGATTTAGGCCAGCTAACCCGAGGCTCACACATGTGCTAACCTGAGGCTCACACATGTAAACACTGTGTGCACTTTCTCTTAAAGAACATTGTAGCAATAAAATGGCATAAACCACATGTGGCTCAGAGCCTGGATACTAGCTTGTTTTGTTTGTGTGTTGTTGTTTTTCATTTTTTTACATCAATTTATTCTGTGTGTGTGCCCGTGTGTGTGCCGCAAAGAGGCATAATCCAGATGAAAAGATTGAAGGTGAGGAGGCGGGGCCCTTCATGCACAGAGAAATCAAGAGGCTGCTTTATGGAGGTGATATTTGATTAGATTCTAACAGAAGTGTTGGGGGCAACCTTGGGGCTATCCAGAGACACAGCCTTGTGGGTATGGGAAGCACAGGGTTCAGGTGCCCCAAAGGGAGGGTGTGTTGAAAATCTTCAAGGAGCAGCAGGGAGGCTTGTCTGGTAGGTGTGGAATAACCTTGTCTAAGAATCATCCCTCAGGTAATGCCTGGGGGGCACTCACCAACCTAAGACAGAGCACCTGTGTGGCCTGGGCAGACATCTCCATGACGGGTAAGGTGACCTGCTGATGTCCCATGCAACCCAAGTCAGAAACTCATTTTTTAATAAAAGGGGGACCTGTAGGGCCCTGGTCCCCATTTTGGGTAACTGTTGCCTTGCTTGCGGACCTTGACCTTGATATCCTCCCTATGCTAATTCCCTGCCGGGTTCCACCCTCCTGGATGCTTAAGGGAAGTTCCTTGTCTGTGTATCCTGAATAATGGCCGTTAACAGCTCAGATGCAAAACTGTAAAACATCAGTAGCGAACTTCTGCCCTCTGGGTCCTCCCATTGTGCTGTAAGCCTGTATTTAAGACCTCCTACCTCCTTCAATAAATGACATTTGGTATTTAAAATTAAAATAAAAAAAATTAAAAAAAAAGATTGATTCCTCTGAGGGGTGTGCGGCTTGGTCACAGAAGGCCTCTTGGCCTTGCTAAGATGGGCCGACGCCGACAGGGAGGTACAGTTGGGTACAGTATTTATAAGTCTAGTGTCTATCAGCAAGTTCTCTGTAGTTCAAATTCTAGCTTTACTGGTTATATAATTTTGAGCATTTTATCATACCTCTTTGTGCCTCAGTTTCCTTATCAGCAAAATAGAATTAATGGTTAATTAATTAATCATGTTAGAAATAATCAAATCTGTTTCCTTATCAGCCAAATAGAATTAATGGTTAATTAATTAACCAAATTAGAAATAATCAAATTAGGCTTGGGCAAGTTCTAGTGATTTCTTGGCTTTTAGATAGAGATGAAAAAAGTGTTCCTCACGTGAACTTGTAATTCACGAAAAGGATTAAGCCTTTACTTACATTAGTACCCAAAGTGGCTTTTGTATTAACCACACTCGGGGGGGGGGGGGGGGGTGCTGTTTCAGACCACTTAGCATATGACAATTAATAAGAGAGTGCCATTAGCTCATCAGAGATAGAATTCCAATTAATTAACAAATGAATTTTTATGTTAACAGTGAGTTTTCAGTGAGACTTGAGAGTAAGCCCAGATCTTGCCAGATATCAAAACGGGAACCCCCCCCCCCCCGCACCCGGGACCCGGGCAGATCCAGGCACACACGTGAAATGATAGAAGACGAATCCAGGCCCTTTAAAGGATGCAGCTTGTCAAGGATGACAGGGCTTGATGGAACGCCCTCAGCTCGGGTGTTCTCACATGCAGCGTAATTAGACCTAAGGTCTAGACACTTCTGGAAGGAACACAAACAGACAAGGGCGTCAGGCCAAGATTCTAAATGAGAAAACAGGATGCGAGAAAGTACTTTGTGGGTCGGACTTTGTTCTTGGGGTGACCTCTACCGCAGAGGGCCTATTGAGGTCTGCTGGAAGCTATATTGTCAGCGGCTTTAATTTGCTTCCCAGGCTGAAGAGAATGACCTCCTCTGAGGTGGTAGGTAAACAAGAGGCTGGTGTGACCATTTTTTTTGTTGGTGGTGCCTGTGGTAATGGTTCTTACAATGCTGGGGAACAAATTTGGGGCTTTGCACATACCAGGCAAGAGTCCCACCAGGAAGCTATGTCCCCGGTCCCTTGAGCAGTATTCTTTGTACTGTATTCAGTGCTGAGGGATGCTCTTGATTAGAAAGAAAATGGGCTGTTTTCATGTGCTCAGTCTCACTCCATAAAGCATCCACTGGGTCAGCCAGGAGCAGCTCAGAGTTCCACCATCCCACATTGCATTATTTGCCTCTCTGTCAAAAGCAGGGGGACGTGCTCAGGCAGGTTTCTGGGGAGTCCATTCTTTGTGCATGATTAATAGTGTGTCTGGGGGAGATGTTCCACTGAACCTGGCTCTTTGGGTACTCTTCATCCCCCAGAAGCCAGAGTAGATGAGGATGGATGTGAAACCCATTGCATAATAGGGCTGAATAACAAGTAGGACAAAACTCAAGAGATGCTGTTGGCAAGGAGACAGTCCCAGCGCCTTCCTCTTCCTCCGGCATCTCCTCATTTCACCCCAAACAGGGAAGAGTATGGCTAGGCTATAGGCTTCTCAATGCCTTTCCTTCACAGGGCCAGAGCTAGGGATGAAGACCTAGGAGCTGGGCCTAGTCTGGGCAACACACACTCACGTCTATGTGGCCCACTCTCGATTGTATGAGAACCCATCTAAAGAGAACATGCTTCCTCCCCCCGCCACCGCCCCCATGGTTTTCCATACATGTTTTGTTTCAGAACAGAACTTGGGTATTCAGGGTCTCTTGTCTATCAGCCTGTCCATGTCCTTGTAGTCCTGACAGATGAAATAGAGTCAGTAGACTAAGAAAGCATATTCACCAGGGTTAATGTCTCCCCAGGCTCATAAGCTGAATGCTTGCTCCCAGCTAGGTGAACTGTCTTAGGAGGTTCTGACAGCTCTCGGAGGTGTGTCCTGGACAGAGGAGTAGGTCACTCAAGATGTATGCTTGGGGTTTGTGTCTTACCCCAGACCCTCTCTGCTGCTCTCTGCTTCCTGCCAGCCATATGATGAGCAGCCTCCTCCTCCTCTGAGTTTTATTCCGCTTCTCCACACACCCAGAATCAAAGGGCCATGAAGGGCTGGAACTCTGGAACTGTGAGTGGAAAGAAGCCTGTCCTACTTCATGTATTTCTTTTTTTTTTTTTTAAGATTAATTTATTATGTACACAGTGTTCTGTCTGCAGGCCAGAAGTGGGTGCCACATCTCATTATAGATGGTTGTGAGCCACCATGTGGTTGCTGGGAATTGAACTCAGGACCTCTGGAAGAACAGCCAGTGCTCTTAACCGCTGAGCCATCTCTCCAGCCCTACTTCATGTATTTCTGTTGGGTCTTTGGTCACACTGATGAGAAAGGTAATTAAGCTAAGTGGGGGGCCGGAATCTGGAGGCCAGAGGCCCTCAGCAGGAGAAGAAAGCTCTTATGGAGTGTGGCATTAGTATATATAGGATTCTGTCTGAGTACAAAGGTTGTTCAGGACTTAAAATGATGAGAGTCCTGAGAGCTGGGAGGGCCTGGGCAAGCTCATCAGCCAGCTCTGCCGAGTGCATCTGGAGCCTCAGCCAGGGAAGTCAAGCCAGGAGGGTGACATCACTGTCACTTTATTAATGTCCCACATGCAACCAAAGTGGGCGGCAGGAAGAGCTCTCTCTGCAGAGAACACTCTGTCTTGATACTTATTCAAACAAGGACAAGCACATTTCGAAACATGTGACATTTCGTCAGGAGGCAGGTACAGGTCCACCATCCATTTCCCTGCAATTACAGAATCCCCAAAGTGCTGACCATGGAAGCCTTCTGGTCACACTGAGGACAAATCTCATTTGTGACTCAGCGTTCTTGTCTGTTGCTATTGTACCCACTGTGTGTGTGTGTGTGTGTGTGTGTGTGTGTGTGTGTGTGTGTGCTCCTTTGAAATTTGGAGTTAAATTCATTTTAAAATGTGTTAGTGCTGAACCTGTAGGTAACAGTGAAGTTAGAAGGAGAGGGGGTATCTGTTGCAATCAATAATGCATTGGGTGGAGTTATTACAGACCATGGGTCACGGACCGTGACATCTGTTGTACTGAAAAGTAGACCATCAGAAGTCAAAACAGGATGAGAAACTTCAAAACCGAGTGACGAGTCACAGGAGATGCTCTGTAAAATGAGAATCAAAAACTAGTGGAAATGGGAAAACACTGTTAAGGCCGAATAATGCAAGATCCTAACCACATATTAATTAAATGCAGTCACAATAAGGAAGTGTGCACCAATCCTTGGTCAGAAGCAACTTATAAAATATAACAAAGATTAAATCATGAGAGCAATGTGAGCATTTGGAAAGTTCAAGTGTTAGGTTGGATTTTTCTCATAAAAACAGAATTAGAAGGATGTTTTGATGTGTATATGCATAATCACTCCATAGTACTTTGACAACTCCTTGACTTAGAGTCAACTGCTTGTAGAGTGTCAATCACATTTACAAGACACCTTCATAACACCAGGGTGAATAGTGTTTGGCCAAGCAGGTAGCCATGCTCTAACATATCACCATATAAAATTTAACTTATCACAGCTACCCACTGAGTTTAAGATTGTCATGGATCTGAAACCCGGAATAACAGCATTCCTGCTAACGGGGAAGCAACTAACATTTTGATTAATTTGTTAGGTCCTCTCTTAGGCAGATGTTAGCTGTGGAAGTATTTATAATGTCAGTGGCAAAGCCTGATGTTATAAATACTTCCTGGCATGTAGACCTTTGTATACTGCCCTACTGAGGCATGAACTGTGAATGTAATGGGCCAAGCACGCCTGGAATTAGATTACAGTCTGTGATGCAGTTCTCTCTTAAGAAACAGAGATCATTTCTGGTCACTGATCTCGTCATGTGAGCATGTGAAAAGGAGAACATCAGTCTAGTAAGAGATTTGACATGGTAGGTGGATTCTCCATGATTGGCTTTGAGATCTTCAAAGGGACTGTTTGTCAGGGACCTGAATGTCTCTTCCAAATGTAGTTCCCAGGGTTTAACAGGCTATCCATCTGTAATTGATAACTAATGTAACAGACAAATCCTACTCTATGAGGAAATTTGTTAAATGGATTTGCATGCAGAGCAGTTGAGTAGAAAAATCAATCTTAGTACATAATTAGAGTCAAACTTAGAAGGGTGTTTTTTCAATCTATATTTATTTAACTATTTTGTTTAGTGATCTATTATAAATAAGAATAGTAGCTGGGTGGTGGTGGCACACCCCTTTAATCCCAGCACTGGGAGGCAGAAGCAAGCAGATTTCTGTGAGTTCAAGGCCAGCCTGGGCTACAGAGTGAGTTCCAGGAAAGGCTCCGAAGCTACACAGAGAAACCCTGTCTTGAAAAACCATAAAAAAAAAAAAAGTATTTACTGTCCTTAGCACACTTAGTTTGAACATTATTTCACTGCAGAAGTGGTAATATATTTGGTTTGTGAGTTTGTTGGCCCAGGATGCCATCACCAAACGCCACAGACCAGTTGGCTGAAGTAACAAGCATTTGTCCTCACAGTCTAGGAAGTGCCAGATGAGGGTGTCAGAGAAGATTCGACCAGGCTTATAGATGGCTACTTTCTCCTCGCTCGCTCGCGTCTTCACAGATGTGAGAGAGACAGGGGCGGAGTGAGGAAAGGAAGCGGAGCCATCCCTGGCTTGGTGGTCTGGGACTGTAAACGGAAGCAAGCTGAGCAGCAGCAGAAGGGCAAACCAGTAAGCAGTGTTCGGTCATGATTCCTGCTCCCGTCCCCGCCTGAGCCGCTGTCCACTCCGTGCCATGATGGACCACGACACAGCAGTGTACGCCAAATAAGCCAGCCCCTCCCTCCCGCAAGCTGCTTTCAACTGGCATTTTTTTTCCCCACAGCAACAGAAAACAAACTAGACGAGCAGCTTAATGAAGGAAGAAGGGTTGACTTGATCTAACAGTCTGCGGGCACAGTCTGCTGTGGTGGGAAGCTAGGGAGCCTGAGCCGGCTGCTGGTCACATTGTATCGGCAGTCGGGAGAGAGATGATTGCTGGCATTCCAACCCCTTTTATGCTGCCTGGGATCTCGCGGTATAGTGCCACCAACATTTAGGGTGGTACTTCCTATTTTAACCTAATTTAGATGACCCCTCACTGCATACCCCGAAGTCTATCTCCTCAGTGATTCCAGATCCTACCCAACGGACAGTCAAGATTAACCCTCACAACGAGTGTTCTCACCAACAGAAGGTGCCTCAGTCAATTGTCAGAGACTCAGTCAGTCTGGGCCAGCATAAGGAAATGCCTTTTGCTCCGGTTTGTACATGAAGGTGACCTGAAGCAACCCAATGTTGACCGTTCCTGTTTCTACACTGTAGTTTCCTTGTTCTTGCACAAGCAGCTCACAGAAGCCGACCATCCTGCAGTGACCAGAGGAGCACCCTCCTGCACTGTGCCTGGGGTGTTGCACACCTTATAGTCACCGACTGCAGCCAACTAGACCTTTGCACCCAGTTCGTTATGACTTTAGTCTACACCATCTCCCCATCCCCTGTGCCTAGGCACCCATCCCTCTCCCGTGCCCTTTTATTAATTTTCTGAATCTAAAGGAGTTACATAAACCCGAGTTGTGTGATCTTGTGGTTGGGACAATGTGGCCTCCGCTCAGGCCAGCAGGGAGATGGGAAGTGTGTTCTGCTCTGCTGCTAAGACATCTGGTCTGGGTAAACATTACCCTGCTGTGAGCACTCCTGAAGCGGTAAGTTCACAAGGGCCCTCCTCCTAGGGTGCATTTTCTTCTTCACTGATTTCCTTAGACCCGCCTACAAGATAATGGATTTCATTGTGTGTGTGTGTGTGTGTGTGTGTGTGTGTGTGTGTGTGTGTGTAGACCTAGATTTTGCACGTGAGAGAAAATGTGCAATATTTTGACTTTATGCCCCAAATATCATCTCTGGTTCCTCACTCTTCCATCCTTTAGATCGGTCCTCCCCAACCCATAGCTACCTTCTATTTTCATGTCTTCCATGCATTCGTGTAGGTTTACACTTGAATCTAAATCCCCCACAGGAGAGAAGATGTGCTGTTTGTCTTTCTGAGTCTGGCTATACTATACTTGATTCCATCTGTTTTCCTGCAAACAACACAATTAATTCTTCTCGTGGCTGAATAAAACTCTATTTAAAATGCATATGTATATAATATATAAATAGTATACATAGATATCACATGATCTTTACCTTTGCATCTGTCGATGCACATAGGGTTGGTTCCGTATCTTGGCTGCGGTGAATAACACAGCTATAAACATGGATGTGCAAGTAGCCCTGACTCAGATTCCTCTAGTCTAGGCGTATTCCCGGGAGTGGTAGAGCTGGACCGGAAGGTGACTGTATTTTAGTTGTTTCTTTGAGGCACCTCCACACTGATTTCCATAGTGGCCACATTGGGTTTATATGTCCTGGTCCGCCCCCGCCCCCGCCCCTGCCCCCAGCAGTAAATTAGGGTTCCTCTTTTCCAGCTTTTGTGGTCCTTTGTTTACTTGACGATAACCACTGGTAAATCGAGTTCCTCTTTGCACACGTCCTCATGAGCGTTAGTGCGCTTTGCTTACTTGGTGATAACCATTCTGACTGCAAGGTGGACTCCCAATGCAGCTCTCATTCCTATTGTTTTGTTTCTCCTGGGGATGAATCTAGTGCCTCGTGTATGTCAGGCATTCTACGACTGAGCCGCATCTCCAGCTGGCCTTGAACTTGAGACCTTCCTGCCTCGGCCTCCGAGGCTTGGATCACAGGCTTGTCCCACCACATCTAGTTTCAGCGGAGCTCTTATTTGTTTTCCCTTGATGGCGAAGGATGATTACCTTGAGAGCATCATTTCTCAGGGTGAGGATTAAGAATTTTCCTCTATTATTTCCCCCAGGATGCTGGGCATCTCTCTTATTGCTTCTTATTACACAGATGTGTACAGTAACAGTCGAGGTGACACACAGCGACAACTGCCTTCCAGTCTGTGTCACAGAGTGTCTTAGGTTTTCTATTGCTGTGAAGTGACAGCATGACACAGAAAACATCTAACTGGGGCTGGGTTACAGTTTCCGAGGTTTGGTCCGTTATCGGCGTGATGAGAAGCATGGCGGCATGCAAGCAGAGACTGCGCTGGAGAAGGAGCTGAGAGTTCTATGTCTTGATCCACAGGCAGCAGCAGCAGGAGACCTCCCCACTTGGCTTAGCTTGAGCGTAGGAGATCTGAAAGCCCGCCTCCACAGTGACACACTTCCTCCAACAAGGCCACACCCACTCCAACAAGACCACGCCTCCTAACAGTGCCCCTCCCTATGGGCCAAGCAGTCAAACACCCGAGTTTATGGGGGGCCCGTTTCCTTTCAAACTGCCACACACATCCTCTGAGTTGGCTGTCAGTGGAACAGCTGAGGACTGCCTGAGGCCCTGTGTGGTCACTTCCTGTACCCCACTGAGTCAGGTTCTGCTCCAGCTTCAGTGGATGGCTGCGCTGTTATAACATTACTACTGATGTCTTTCCAACACATTGGTGAAGAGAGCCTGGTGTCTCAAACTAGGGCAATAAGAAGGGGACAGCACCACACAATACAATTCAAAATTAGTTCCACTAGCTTTCTACTGTATTTTTGTTATTATTATTATTTTTCCGGGGTTTTGAGGTAGGGAGTCTTACTATGTCCAGGGTGGCCATCTTCACAATCCTCCTGCCACAGTCTCCTGAGTTCTGGGATTACTGGAATACATCATCATACTCAGCTCCTTTTTACTTGTTTTAATATGTACTAAAAAATTGCTAAGGGCAGGGTGTGGTGGCCCATGTCTTTAATCTCAGCACTCGGGAGGTAGAAGCAGGCAGACCGCTATAATAATTATAGTAATTATTATTTAAATTAGATATGGATTATACTACATTTCTTCTGTACAGAGTGGCCTTAGTGAACTCTAGCTACTGTTTAGATGAAGGACAGAAATACGATTTAGAAATATTTAAGCTTCAGAGGCATTGCCAGCAAACTACATCCTTCTCTTAGGCCTTCATCTCTCTCTTGGAAGCATCTTCTACTGAAGACCAAAAACTCCAGAATTTTGAGACTTAGATGGAATAAAAGAGGGGCCGAGAAAGGAGGCATTTCCGGCAAGGTCTTTGCTGTATGATGGTAAGTGAGGTGAACAACTGGTACCTACACACTGGCATGTGACAGGCAGAAGACAAGTCACTTGTCACTTCTAATGTAGCCGTTCCTGTCTTTTGGGAGGGCAGGAGTATTTGGGCTGGGAAGTTAGTGGCCTTCAGGACAAAGAGCAGATAAGCACATGTGAACATCTGTGAGGTGTGGTGGCTTGTGTTTGTTCAGCACTCTGGAGGCTTGGGTTTGAACCCATGACTTCAAGGCCAGTCCAGGCTACAGAGTGAGTTCTTGTTAGGCAGAACGAAACAGATAAAAAGGACAAGGAAAAATAAAATAAAGTAATTGAAATGTGCCATTTGTTACTGCAGAGTTCATCTTCTGGGTGGTGTGCCAGTGACATTCACTGGGAACTGATTTTGCTCTTTATACCAGGACTTTTCCTTAGGCAGCCTATAGATTGAGTTTATATATGTGGAACATCCTGGAATGTTCCAGAAATAGAAACATTTTAGCATCTCTCTTCAAAATGCAGGTGGAATCTTTTCATACTTGGACCACAATGGAGATTCCCCCAATTAGATCTCTGATATAATGGTAATGAACTACAAAGACATTTTTGGGAAGGTGTTGGTGTTGGGAATGTGGGCCACAGGATAGTGACTATTGTTAGTGCCAGAAGCAGGGGACCAGGAGTTCAGAGGCTCCGAGGGAACTGATGTGACAAGCTATTGGCCAAGGTGTATCGCAGACATTGATAAATAGCCTTGGGTTTATTAACAGAACACACCGGTCCAAACCCTTCTATCTCTGCAGAATCAATCCTGGTGGCCAGTCGACATGGAGAAAGACTTGTAACTAGTCATAGCTTTCTAGGCAGATCCAGGAAGTTTATGTGTAGCAGGTAGGGAGAAGACAGGCAGAAAAAAAAAAATGTTTCTGCTTTAATTTTATTTTTACGTATGTGTGCCATGTGTGCGTGGGGTATGTATATGAGAGTCCGGGTGCCTGAGGAGACCAGAAGTGGGCATCCGAGTCCTTGGAGGTGAAGTGGTTGGCAGATGTGAGCTGGCTGGCCTCTCAACTCCTGGCCTCTGCAATAGCAAGCAGTACAACCTCTTTCCAGCCACCTTTCCAGCCCCTCATCCAGTTCTTAATAGAGAGGGAAAGGACGGATGTGAGGGTGTATGGAACAGAGTGGGTGGTGGGTGAGGGCTCTTCCCTGACCCGGCCTGTTCGTACTTGTCGTGGGCACTAAGACAGAGTGCCTGGGAGTGATGGCCCCCAGCGGACCTTCTTTCCCAGCACTGGTGGTGGTGGTGGTGGGGGGCGGTCATGTTTAATTAGAAAGGTGGCAGGGGCAGTTACAGCTCACTTCGAGTCCATAACCCTTCAAAGTGCTCTGGCATCCCTGGGAAGAGCAACAGCTGGGCGGACACCGATTATTCGCATGGCGGTGTGAACGGGTTCGTCACCTGGCACAAGGGTGTGGAATTAGCTTGGAACTTGGGGCTCAGCGGTACTGAGGGAGAAAAGAAAAGGGGGTTTGGAAGGTGCCGTTCTCACACTGAAGCAAAAATTGTGTCATTTTCTCTTTTCATGCTAATGTTTTGTAATTATTGCTATTTTATCATCGCAAATACCGCAGAGGCATTATGCTAAAACTCGGCCATCTCTTCCATGCTTACCCAGTCCCGGTGCCCTCTCAATCAGCCTTTTGTTTACTGGCTTTCTGTTGAGTTTACTGGCTGTGTTCGCCATGTGGAGGGGATCTCCCACGTACGTAGCTAGTATATACACCCATATCTAACGTCTCAGATACTCTACACAAGCGCAAGATTATTTTATATGCTTAATAATTTATCATGTACATCTTCCCAAGTGAATGCGCTTTCCCCCACTCTTCCTAACAGCTACATATGTTCTGATGTGCACACCATATTACTTATTCAACCACTTCTCTATTTGCAGGCAGGCTTTTGTAGATCTCCAGTTATTTTCAAGGCAAGATCATGCTTCCTAATATGGGAATCCATCCGTAGTCTGTTACCTAAGACATAAGAAATATAAAATGAAGAATCTATTGATTGTGGACACAGACAGACATAATAAAATTTTCCAGGCTAAAATAATAAAGCCTCAAGAACTATCTTAGCCAGTGCATTTACAAATGCTATTGCTTCCATTTCTGTAACAAGGGTGTGCAGGTCTGCCAGCCAGGGCAAGGACCAGTCTACTTCTGTTCCCTTTCACATTATATAGTACGGAAATGTGTAGCATTCTGTTAACTTACATCCTATCTGAAAAGGAACAGATAGAAGAAAAGAGTGATTAAAAATTCCCCATCAGGTATAACACTAGGACACACTAAACACCTTA